GATATAATTTCTGAATGATTTATATCTATCTTGTAGACATTATCGATATGGATACATCATTATCTAAACGAATATGTTCACATCGTTTTATTGATCAATATTCTGGTAAATGTCTTCATTGTGGTTATTTAAAAATATCATCGATTGAACCATGTATTACTATGAACTATTCTTTACAAAATGATATTAATGATGATGATGTTGATAGTTCATTAGAACTTGAACATTATGAACGTTTAGTATTAATACTTGATGAATGGAAAAAAAATATGATAAATCGTATTGAAACAATATATAAATCAAAACTTCAACGTTTACGTGATGAATTTGAATAACAACAAGCTGCAAGACGTCGTTATCAAATGGAACAAAATAAAATTGAAAATGATAATGAAAATGAAAAAATTGATTTAACAAATATTAATTTTACATTAATTAATTCTTCATTTATTGATACAGAATATACATTAATAGCATCATCATTAGAAACAATTCTTATACATGATGGTCGTACATTTAAATTATTTGATAAAAATCTTCGTCCATTAGTTGCATTAGATTTAACAAATTCAATGCGTGAACGTTCTAAAGTTGTTGATTTATGTTATATATCATATTTATCATCATATTTAATATTATATGAACAAGGTTTATGGATATTTCAACCAGGTTCAAATGCAAATTTAATAACATCAATACAACGTCGTGGTTATTTATCATTAACAACAAATACAAAAGATTTATTTATGCTTGATATTGATGGTACTATTGAACAACGATCAATTATATCATGGACATTTCTTCGACGTTATTCAAAACAACATTTATTAAATGATTATATTAATGATCAATTATTATCAATACGTTTTCATTCAATTGAATATACAATATTAATTGCAATTATACGTACAACAAATAATCGTCGATGTTTAATGATATATAAACATTATGGTTCAAATACATTTAAATTATTAGATAGAATATTATTTCCTAATATAAATATTTATACAATATCATCATTACATATATCACATGTATGGTTAATAACAACATGTGAAAAACAATCATTTTTTTTTATTGATAATAAACGTGAATATAATCAACGTGAACAACAACAAATATGGTTTCAAATTGATTGTGATTATAGAATTAAAAATGCTATTGAATTTGGTATAAATGAAAGAAAAATTATTATAAGAACAATACGACCAAGTCAAATAAGACTTTATCATTTTTGATAATATTTGTTTTTTGTTTTTGTTTTTTTTTGTATATTTGTATTAGTATTAGATAAAAAGTTAAACGTTGTTTTTCTTTTTTTAAATATAAAAGTTTTTGAAAGATATTGAAGATGATCTTTTTATTTGAACAAAAAATAATTTCTATTATACTTATATTCATGAATAAAAATCTTTCTTCCTTCCTTTTTGTGTTATATATTAGATTACATTCATATAGTCTCAAGAGAATATTTCAAATAT